TACTATATATTCTAATTGAAGTTGTAAACCAGTTTTGTGACTGAGAACAGTTGCGGGGCTAAGGAGATAGTGTATGATTCTTGTTGACTACGGCTTGGGATCCGGAGCTACTGGAACCAACAGCATATGAACATCCCTCCTAAATACGCATATTTCATACCTCAAGATACTCCAAAATCCACGCACTCCATCATCCCCGTTACTATATATTCTAATTCAAGTTGTGAAACTACAGAGAAACATGTTTTGTGACTGAGAACAGTTGCGGGGCTAAAGAAATATTGTATGATTCTTGTTGAGTACCGCTATGGAGCTACTGGAACCAACATCATAATGAACATTCCTGCTAGATCCTCACGATTGTATGTCACAAGATACTCCTAAAATCTACGTACTTCGTCATCCAAGTTACTATTATATAATACATTCTAATTGAAGTTGTAAACTACAGAGAAACATGTTTGTGACTGAGAACAGTTGAGGGACTGATTGTTGACTACGGCTAGAGAGCTACTGGAAAAAAACAGCATATAAACATCCTTCCTATTTCATACCTTACGATACTCCTAAATCCATGCACTTCATCATCCCAGTTACTATATATTCTAATTGAAGTTGTAAAGTACAGAGAACCAAGTTTTGTGACTGAGAACATTTGCGGGGCTAAAAATATACTATATGATTCTTATTGACTACGAGTAAAATATACTTCACTTTGCCAAGGGATTACCGGTGGAATAGGGCCTGCGTATGGCCAATTATAATGGCGGAAAGCAATTCCCAATATAATACAGCATTTACGTCGGATACCCATCTGTTTCTAGAGCCACGAGTGGAATCATTTCCTCCGATGTCTGTCTTCGTTGATGAAAGTAATGAGATACACAAGAAATTGTTACTCAAGCAACTGGACAGATTTCGAAAACTGTACGACGTTTCAAGTGGCATCGGCTACTTTTCGTCAGTAACATCCGTCAATGACAAAAAGTAGTGGATGATACTTGTAACGTCTGACAGTTTCTAAAACCTGAGTGTCCAGTTGCTTGGGTAACAATTTCTTGAGGGTGTCTGTCTTCTTTCAAGAATAAAACAAGGAACATATTTTTAGATGCATCGACATTACTGAGTATTTTGCATAATTTTACATGCCAAAAGAGCAAGATTGTATTTAGAAAATTGACAAATCGCTCATTTATTGCATGCTGGTAAGTTGACGCATTGACTTTGTTTAATTTTTAGCATCCTAAGTTGTATCTTTACCCGCCAAAAAGGAAATATTGGGTGTAGGAAAATTGCATATTTGTTGCACGCTGGCATTTTGACGTCACTATATCTTTTGGGAACGTAGTAGTAATGTGCAACAAAAGCTCGGCATACTGAAAATTCAAGGGTCAGTGGCTTTCAATTTACACGAAAGTTGGTAATCCAGTGATGTGCCGGAAATCTCAACATTTTTATTGGAAGGCGGTGCTCACAATATGCAGGTAATCCCGCTTCTGACAAACTCGCTGCACCCTCAGTGACGTGGAAGAGATCGTAATCTCGTAAAAGAGATCATAATCCTCGAGGTGCGCTGTGTGAGGTGGATACTTAAGCAGCAATTATTGCAGTTTTGGTCCTTTAGAAGCGACTACTCCTCATGGTAACGAGCTAATTCTAACGCCAATATGATGTAGAAATAATGGCCAATTTGTCAGGTACACAACGTTGGTTGAAGTATGAAAAATGACCCGATATCGACAACCCTAACAGCCATCACCAACACTGGTGAATTGTAAACAGGAGAAGAGTATTGATCACAATGTCTCCAGCAAGTTCTTTGAAGCTTGAAAAAAGCAACAAATATACCAGAAGATCCAAGATCTGAAATGGATGAGTAGCTCATCGGTGAAAGTAGCTCCATTACTAAATTGAGTCGAAAGGTTTAGCCGTTAGAGTCAAAGGGTAGGGGCATGATAGTCACACATGACTTCCAAATGCCAAGGACAGGCAGACATGTGAAGCCCCTGTCATGCATAGTCTTATATGTCCTCCCGAACACTGCCGAACTGCTAAGAGCTAGCCATGGTTGGGAGTAGGTTGATCGGGAGCAAGTTCGGGTCTGGTTGTCTGGTGCTCGACGAGGTTGGCTACTGTTTGGTTGCAATGATTCAAACATTCAGAAATGGGCTGGGGGTTGGGTCATAGTTGGGAACCGGTTGGCTGGATCGTTGGGAGTAGGTCAGCAGTGTTCGGGGCGTGGTTGGCAGTCAAATGTAATTAAAAACTTGACTAGAGTCGTTTAAAAAGGTAGGTGTAGTGTGAATCTGGTCAGACTGCTCCCAACCTACAGCCAAAGATAAATGAACATGAGTGGACATCAGGCTAGAATTTTCACACTTACCTTGCGTAGCAACATCATCATTTCGATGTTCAGCACTAGTGGGTGTTCACTGAATTCTGGCGGGATGTTTCCATTAAGATGGATTAACCTGGTCAATAAACAGTGATACCATGTCAATCCCCGCAATGCACAGAGGACAACCCCTGTGTACATGTACCACAGAGTGGCTTTCCACTCCAATGATTAGTGTCCACAAATTCACGCCACAGTCTGATTCATCTTGTGGAATAGTCTCCACCAGACTAACACCGTGGATTCAAATCAGTACATTTACCGAAATAGAGGGAAAATTGAAATTGAGTTTATTTGCTCGCACAGAAGGAAATGAAACCCTAATAGACTTTCAGACTTTCAGACCATCCTGACCCCCACCCTTTTTGGTGGACGCTACTACTTCTAGTACTAGTAGTGTGACATGCACAGAACATCGCCTCAGACATAAGTTCCAATATAGCATTATTATGACATTTTTATTTTATGACATTTTTATTTGATAACAGGTCCTAAAATCAGAAATCGAGTTGTCAATCTTAGATTGCGAGAAATTTAGCCCGTCTTAATTATTTACGGCTTTTTGTTTCCAATTGTCATTAGTAAATATGAACTTAGTATCATACAGTCAAACGCTCTTTAAAGTTTGGCACTCCAAGCTGGGATATGCTTGTTTTTGTATTCACCGCAGGCGCTTTCAAACAACTGAATACCCTCCAGCGAAACAAGCCATTTCCACAAAGATCTCACAGGGACAGCAGACATCTACTAGAAAGGAAAGATAAATCATGGCATTGTACCTTGAGGCCTTCCACTGCAGAATGATCTATGCCTATGTGACCTCTCGATTCATACTAACTACTTTAGAGGGCAGTCACGGTAAGACACGAGAGGAAGCTAACAGTGACAAATTTGTATCTGCTCCGACGGGAAAATAAGTCAAGGCTATGCTCTAAGGCGGAGGTCCATGTATAACCATTCAAAACAATGCATGCGTGTTATCGCTAGTTCTAAAACAGTGAGTCCTTAGGCAATGCCACACACTAAAGAAGGTTTTCGTGACTTGGCCCTGCAGCGATATATATTTGTAGACACCAGCTGCGATGCTGCTATTCATTAAACCAACTTCAAAAATCAAAGTCAAGCAGATATATATGGTCTACGCATTAAAACTTAATGTGACGTTTTATGATCTTCCAGCTGGTCACGGATAAGCTACCGACTTTCCTAGTCAGGTCTCGTTCTTTAAAAGATTGCATAACCGTTTATTACAAACGAAGTTCTTTCATGTTTGTTTTAAACCGTCTTTCAACGGCAGTGGAATTTATTGTACTGGGAAGTGATCACGCTAAGGTGCTTAAGTTGAGCGTACATCTATAATTCACCGATTGTAGCAAGCTGAAAACAGGTGCCCTGTTACGGGCAAGCATCGATCGCTCCCGGTAAATAAAACGCTACGACGCCGCGGGCAGACAGGTATATAAGTACAGCAGCTGACTTACAGGCATTGGAGAGGCTACAAATCTCCATCTCACAGTGGGCGCCTACCGAGAAATAAACGGGCGGAGGATTTTACATTGATTCAAATCAGAAGTGACAGCGGCCGCCCTGGATGAAAGTATAGGTCTTATTTAGTCTTACGGGGATATCGATGTCTCAATAGTGGCCAAATGGTACGGACGCCGGAGAGTCGGGTACAATCAATGGGCTTCATTTTTCATATAGAGTTACACGGCTGCGATCGAACGCGACGAAATATAGTTTCAAATATTTGGATAGGGGCAAATATTTTAAGCTGGACTTCGGTACTCCAATCAAACTTGCCCAAGCGACCACTTCTATAAGCCTACCTCAGGACACTTTCCTCGGTCCGATTTTTTTCCACATTGACGTAAGCATTAAGAGACATCCCTAAGCCGATTAACGCGATCGGCACTATTCAAAACCTCAGCCAAATCTCGACACACACTTGAAAATGACGACCCCAATAGACTGTGTAGCGAAAAAAATAACTGAATGCTATGAAAAAGTCCCGTTCCACTTAATTAAGAGCACGATCTCCATTTTTATAGCCCTTGGGCCACACAGTTGTGGAATCACTACAGCAGTGGCTAGCCCGCCGGTAGTGTTGTATGAGAAAGCAGTATGAGAAAGCAGTATGTACCACTTTTTAAGTCTTTGGTATGACCTGGCCGGAGTTTGAACTCACGACCTCCAAAGCGAGAACTCTTCCCTATTAAGATATTGCATCCCTGTTTATCGCATAGTACTAGGTTTTTACAAAATATATTTCCCTATTTCATATACTTTATTAAAAATAAAAGTCACTGTTTAGAAATTCATATTCTTAATGCAAGTGGCCCTCTTTTGAAAAACATATCTGTTCTTTTATCTCTATTCTAACTAAAAAGCTAGACATTAAATTTAACTTTAATTATCTTCATCTTAGCTTGCATCTTTTAACTCTATCTATTTATCATGTTTTGTTGTGACCAGTATTTCGCCCAGAGTGGCAAATATGTGCACATAATATTCACTGGGGAAATACTAGCATTTTGTTCAACTGGAAAGAGAGATGGTGTGTTGCATTGTTTTGGCACTGATGTGAAAATCGTTCCCTATGTAGCTCACGCTGCCAAGTACCGAGTAATGCCCAAGTCCACGGCCGTACTCTCGGGTGGCACCATCACAATGAAGTGCGCCTACGACGAGCTGACACCCGCCGACACGGTGGTGTGGTTGGGCCCGCCAAACTTCAAAAAACTCCTCGCGACGGGAAAGGCTGTCAACCCCCGCTTCCAGCGGTATGCTATCACCGGAGATCACTCCAAGGGGGAGTTCAACCTGGCCATACGGGACGCCAGGCGGAGAGACGAGGGCGAGTACAAGTGTAGTACCTTCGGGGTGGATGAAGCTGAGGGACAGGCCACGCTCACGGTCGTCGGTAAGTTTTATCATTCATGTCAGCTGTTGTACTCTACTAACGCATTGAATAACCTACTAGTTTTTTTTATTAAAAGAAACAATAATACCCAGGAAAGGACAACGAAGACAACGAGGCCAACTCCTCAAGTTGTGCACAACGTATATTCTAGCAACCACCTTAAAATTTAAAATGTTTTATAAGTCAAATAAAATAAAACAATGCACTTAAAGCTAATTGCTCATGGAAGAATATAAATGACACAGACAACTACAAACGTTTTGTTGATGAATTCCTGTGTGACTAACAACATTTTTAGAGTTCTTTAGTGTCACTGATGATGTGGACCGTTTCTAAATCATATTCAGTTGCTTGAGTAGCTGTTTTTGGCGTATCTTATTACCTGGATGTCTAACCTTCACCGACAAACCTTGTAGTCATATTGTATGTATAGATAGATAGATAGTCTGTCAGATGTCTAATCCCTTTTTTGTAATACCACAGCTTACAGTGACATACAGTTTGTTTCTAAATCATACTAGCACAGTAATTGGGATATTCTGTATTGGTATATTCTAAATTTGGAGCAAGTACAGAAAGTCGCTTAAACGCTTTCTCTCTTCGTGCACTTGAGTGACTGTCAAAAAGTTCTTGTGGCGCCTAAAAGCTCTCAAAATTTTCTCAAGAAACATAGTTTTGGCCTTGGCAACATTTGCGGCGGCAAGGAATCTTCGGATCCTTGACGTAAACTTTTAAAGATAGTCCGACCTGTTCATCATTTCCTCAATATCCGTGCCTTGAAAGCCCTGCTTATCTGGAATCAGATAAGGAAATATTTATGCTCGTCTTAAAGGCAGAGAACTATAAAAGAGGGGTATGAGCGTAGCTGTAAAGCCGCCAATACCCATTACGATTACCCCCGTGTGGACTACTACGTGACAGTTCTAACATTTGAAAGTCAACGTTACTTGACGGCTTCTTCTCGGCCCAAAGCCCTCTAAATGAATCCATCCATCAAGTACAGGTAGATGTGAAGGGACTTGTCGGCAAAAACATCTATCACTGTTCCTCAAGGGAGTTGATACATTCAGTGTTCCCTTTTAGCCCGCATGTCTTCTCGCCTAATACCGCCATACTGCGCCCCTCTATGATGGGTTCATAGCCAGTACATGGTGATTACCATGAAGAAATCAACGTATGGCATCTAAATGGAATGTTATCTCTGAACGTGTGTCTTATTACCAACGATTATACTTAAACTCACGTATGGAATCTTAATGGAAGAACCTTGGAACGTATCTGATTGAGATGACGCATTAAGTAAGGGAATGCGATACTGTAATGTGTTTGATATCTCAAAGTATCCAATATAGTGTTAAAGATCCCATTGCAATATCTTAAATGACGAATAAAGGTTCTTAGGAGATATTTGTCTTGCACATTTCGCAAGCTGGCCTGAGGAAACTAATGTTGGTTGGAGACGTCATGGCGAAGATGATGGCTTGATAACGTTTTCTTAAAGACTTTAGCTGGGCTATTTTTGTCAGCCCACAGCAAAATTCATTTCAGTAGCAATAAGCCGGTGTACTCTGGTTTATGCGCTTGTCTTTCAAAGGGGTTTGGTGCTATCTATCATATATCTGCGAATTTCAGTGGAAACTTTTTAGGTAATGAAGCTATGGTATTTTATTGAAAAGGAAAAGAAATTGGGAATACACATATAATACAGGTAATGTTATCATCATATACAGTTAACGTAACAGGAGTTCATACGTATCTAAATATTAATATAATTGAAATAATTGATATACAAAAAGCTGTAGACTTGTACATACACGGATGCCAATCTTTTATGGTATTACCATGACAGAAATGCAAAAAAATCAATGAACAGAAATCTAATAATTCCAAACTGTTCAAACTTTCCCTTTGCAATATATCCGTTTTATATTGTTTAAGTGGCACAGACCAGGCTGATAAACCCATGAGCCCTGCTGGTAAAACTTAATGCACTGTTGATAAAATCACAGACGATATTTTTTATGTTTGGAGAGACAGATAACACATAAAGCGAAGCAAAGCTTAGGTCAAACATATTTGTATAGTCTGGATACCTCTATCAGCTCTTTACATTGCCTAGTATCTTTATATCTTTCTACCATAGATACCAATTTACAGTGAGCACGAGGCGTGTATCAAGAAGATAAAGTAGAAATCATTGCTTGCTATACCTGGTACATCATAGATACATTTCTGTGTCATTAATTTTACGTTCCCCTAAGTCTTTATCTGACCTTACTCTAACGGTCAAGAACACCTAACTCTATTAACTACTGACATTTTTCAATCATTTCGTATCTTTCTCCATTGCTCAGGATTGCCCAATAACTCTTTTGGCTTCCATATTTAGTCTTTCATTCAAGGCCATTTTATTCCCTTGATGTCTGTCATGATGGCATCTAGTCTTTCAATCAATCAATCAATCAAATGGTTTATTTGTAAAAACAAAACCTTGTAGCCATCAGCTAAATTGTGTCTTGCTGTACAATTTTGATTTTTGACATGTCTGGCATAACACACTAAAATTACTAGTTACTCAATAAAATCCATATCATTATACATTGACATACTTAAAAACAACAGATACAATTTTAACATTAAAACTAACAATTACAAACATATATTAAGTACTTACACAAAAATATGCAAAATAAATGAGACTAGAGGACAGACTAACCACCCTAGAAATATGATACACATTATTTGGAGGAATTGTTCAATATGCGAACCAGGTATGGTACTGGAGAGTTCTTATATCTGTTGGTTCTGTACTTAGTAGCTTTTAGCTTTTCAGAGTTCCTTGTGTGTCTTCCTGAGAGTTCACCCACCTTAGGAGGTAGGAGATCAGGGTTCAGTTTTGTAGCAAATTTAAGACATAGGTCCTCTCTTCTGTCCTTCAATGACTTGAGTCCTGTCAACTGCAGGGCTGCGTCGTAGGAGCTGTATTGTCCTTTAAGGATTGTGCGCAGAGCTCTCTTCTGAACATGCTCCAATCTTGTGATCTTTTTGCACGTGACTCCAGGATTCCATACAGGAACACAGTATTCAACCACAGGTCTGACAAATGACGTATAGACCAGAAGTAAGTCCTGCACTGATACATGGAAGTTTCCCAATCGCCTTAACAGAAAAAGACGGCTGTTTGCTTTTGAAAGCATCCCTGATACATTAGCTTCCCATTTCAGATCAGACTGCAGTAATACCCCCAGCAGGCGTGCGACAGCCACAATCTCCAGTTCTTTCCCGTTGATGGTTAGGACCATAGGTGGCGGTGGGCGAGTCATAAAGCAGAAGGTCATGACTTTGCACTTGTCTGCATTGAGAAGCATGAAGTTTTGTTCTGACCATTGGCTGAATTTCGACAGCTCCTCTTGCATTACGGACGGTTGTAGGTAGTGTCTCGATTCAGCCATTGATAAATCATCTACAAACTTCCATTCTGAAACTCTGGTGGGAATTTCTCTGACCGCGTCATCAAAGACCGCGAGGAAGATAACAGGCCCAAGTAGGGTACCTTGGGGGACCGAACATGTCAATGTCTCCCACTCGGAGAGCTCTCCACTGTAGCGAACACGTTGGCGACGAGCTGACATGAAGTCACAAATCCAAGGGATGATACATGTCCTTGCTCCAAGTTTGATCAGTTTACAGATGGCAACGGTATGGTCAATTCGATCGAATGCTTTGGAGAAATCTGTCATCACCATGGTTGAGATATTTCCAGGTTTGTCAGATTCTTTGCTTAGGTGATCAACTAGGCTGACTAGATAGTGAGTGGTGGATCTTCCCTTCAGACCCCCAAATTGTTGGGGATCAAGATTGGGTGTGATGTCCTGCAACAACCATTTGCAAACAAATGCCTCAGCTACTTTCGCCAACTGGGAAGTGAGAGACACTGGGCGTAGTTTCTCCACAGAGGGAGGTTGTGTCTTTGGTAATGGTACGACTACAGCATCTTTCCACTCCTGTGGTACAAATCCTTCGGTCAAGGATGTGTTCAAAATGTTTGCAATTGGTTTACTCAGTTCGTATGAAAACTCCTTCAAGATTCTTGTACTAAGCTGGTCTGGGCCTGGGGCTTTCCCCACTTTCAGCTTGCGCAAAATGTGGTAGACATCCCAGGGGTGAATCTCTTCATTCAAGGCCATCCAAACTACTCTCTTGATTTTCATGTTTTCATGTAGTCATGTTTGCATGTAGTGAAAACTCAAGGCCACCCATATTACTATCTTGATTGTCATGTTTTGATGTAGTCATGTTTGCATCTAGTCTTTCATTCAAGGCCACCCAAACTACTCTCTTGATTTTCATGTTTTGATGTAGTCATGTTTGCATCTAGTCTTTCATTCAAGGCCATCCAAACTACTCTCTTGATTGTCATGTTTTGATGCAGTCACGTTAACTTTGCATCTAGTCTTTCATTCAAGGCCACCTAAACTACTTTCTTGATTTTCATGTTTTGATGTAGTTATGTTTGCATCTTGTCTTTCACCCAAGGCCACTCAAACTACTCTCTTGATTGTCATATTTTCATGTAGTCCTTCAACTTAATGCCAGCTGACTCTCTTTTCTGCCATATACTTGCATCTAGTCTTTTACTCAAGGCGACCTAGCTACTCTTTTGATTGTCATGATTTCATCCAGTGTTTCACTCAAAGCCACATCACTCTGTTGTACTGTCATGTTTGCATTTAATCTTTTATTCAAGATCCCTTATTTACTCTTTTGCTTGTCATGTTTTTATCTAATACGTCAATCAAGGCCGTCTATTCTGTCACATTCTGCACGCAATCTTTTTTGTTTTATCGTAATTTTGCGCCTAATCTTTCACTCAAGGTAACCTAGCTAATCTCCTGATTGTCATGTTTGCATCAGATTCTACTCCTTCAATCAAGGACACCTAGCACTCTTTTAACGTCATTCTTGCATTAAAACACGTCTCCTAAGTACACACATCAAGTTCCCTTTCTGTCTTTCTTTGGTCCAATGGCAAAGATGGTAACCTTAGAGTGCTCGCCTTGCAATCGGTAGGTGGTGAGTTCGATCCCCGGCCTAGTCATACCAAAGACATTAAAAATTGTACATACTGCTTTCTCTACATAGCACTGCAGTTAGCATTTGGGGAAGAGTATGGTTGTTAAACACACCAGCGCACCTTTTGTAATGATTATACAATAGTGTGGCCCAAGGTTTATTGAACTTGAAATGGGAGCCACCTACGCACCACGTGGTGCGGGAAGGACTTTAACTTTCCTTACCTTTCTTTGTTTTCCCAGAGCCCGTCCCAGCTAACCCGGACATAGACGGGGCAGACGGTCCCGTCGTACACGGTCACTCCATCCTGCTGTCCTGCGTCTCGTACGGAGGCCACCCGCTGCCTCGCCTGGAGTGGTACAACGGGACCCGCCTGGTGCAGACCATGAGACCGTCCGAGCAGTGGGACATGGAGGACATGGTGGCCAAACTGTCCATCCGGAGGGTCAGTCGCTGGGAGAACGGGGTGAACTACACCTGCAAGGCTGACCAGGGCTTCCCGGACCTGGTCAAACCTGTGGCCTCATCAAGGGTCCTGGACATACAATGTGAGTAAAATTACCCACAACAATTATTATACAAAAATCACAGCATCTAGTGTCAGAAATAAATGTCACATCAAATATGCGTTATGGACTATTTTTACAAAAATACTTGAAATATCTTAGTTAAAAATCGTGATGTTATCATTTAATTCCACTATTTGATATATCTGATATTTGATATTTCGCAATTCTGACATTTGTGGTTGGCGATAGTATACCCGACACGAGGCATATTCATTTTGGAACCACCTAGAAATATGCAGAATGTAAACAAGCATGGCTGAGAGCTGTATTTAGAGCTTTAGCATATTATCATTTTTAGATCGTCCAAATATCACACACAATGCACAATGCATTTAATGACTTTTATGTTTAAACCTAATTAAACTTTCTTCAAATCTTGACCTATGATATGAATTTAAGAAATCCTATATTGTGTGGTTGCAATAGTTTATTACAAAATGGTAACGATTTCATGTTTCGACCCCCACTTTCGTAATTGTCTTGTGAACTAGTTTACATGTCTGATGTCTGACTTTCACTTGGGTCACTCAGCTGATTTATAGCTTTATCACTCTTTTTCTTAAAGACCCACCCGAAGTTTTCGTCCCCCGGCCCTCCATCTTTGTCAAGGAGGGAGACCTGGCTAACCTGACCTGTTTGGTGGACGGTAACCCCGCATCAACTGTGACATGGAGAAAACTCGATCATCATCACTCACTAGCTGGGACTGAACGGTACCGATAGGAGTTATTGATTGTACTGTTAGAGATTACAAAAAATTGAGCATGGAAACTTGACTCTAACATTCCTATACAAGTAACATTGTATGCATATTAGCCATTCATAGAGTCATGCATCAAGCGTTTGGTTTATTTCATTTTTGTTAGAAATATTAATTCATCGAGCTTTATCACACATTGTAGAAGGTCACTATCGCCTTTCAAGATGTCAAACCTGAGACCGGACAGTAGGATGGGAACCCCTCACACTGGGAGGGACTCTAATCTTTTTGATAAGTGTGGTCAGGGCATGAGTGTGGTGGGATCTTTAACCTGCTGAAGGTGTGACTCTCCTCATGCATGGAACCTCCGACTTTACCGAGGGACTACGTCCCTAACCGAAGCTAGGTATTGTCACATCAGTAGAGTGAGGACTAACAAATAGGTGTGAAGTGCATGCCTCCCCACGATCACAACACTTGGGCCTGTCAGGGATACGAACCTTCAGGTTCCTGTCAACCCTATCAACAAGACTACCGAGATACCCCGAGCTCCTTTCTGAACTTTGTATTGTAGCATGTTTATTGTGGGATGAAACATGTGTGTTGCTTTGATTTGTACCCATGACATCTGTCTACAAATTTCCCGTTATTTTTTTAAATTCTTTCTGATGTTTCTTTGGTTTTTCTTATACCCCAGAGGGAATCATCTGATCTTACATAAGGTTTCCCGGTACGACGCCGGTGTGTACCAGTGTACTGCCGACAACGGGATTCCACCTGTGGATGTCGGGACGGTTACACTGGAGGTTCGCTGTAAGTGCGCTGCTATACAAATCCACATATTTATGTAAAGTGCTAATGTTGTAACACCTAGTCACCTCATGATCAACACAAATATATGTCAGAGAAGAGACTCCGGTATGGTAGATTTGGCTATTCTACCGGTAGAGATCCCGATCGTAGTCTCTGTCAACAGAAATTCTGGGATCTCTGCCCGTAGAATCGCTCAGAGAATACTCTCTACTCTAAGAGAGAATAAGGTCTATTGCTACAGCCTACCTTTTCCCAAGGTATATACAAAAAACAAAAAAATACAAGCACATTGCTGGTAGCTCTGTGCTTGGGAAAAAACTAGATACATTTTAAAACTGTGTCTGTATGGTACTGGTTATTGAAACAGATTGTACCAGAAGAGATCTCTGGAATCCGATACATGGATCTTCCCGGGTGGCGCAGGGATCCCGATCGAAATTTCTGTTGGTAGAGATTCCGATTGGGATCTCCACCGGTAGCTTTACCTATTCTAACAGATCGGAGTCTCAGCACCGACATTTGCACATTCAACATATAAGAAAAGCAAGGCTTTTAGAGCGATATATCTAATGACTTTAAACCTAAGCTGACATGTCTTACATTCATATTCCTAACCGATTATCACCTATTTGCAGATCCACCATGGATAGACCCCAGTATGAAGCAGACAATCACAGTACAGTATGACAATGATGGCTTCTCATTGGACTGTTTGGCGGAAGGAAACCCCAAACCCCACATCCGATGGCGGCGGAAGGATACAAGCTTGTACTGGGAAAATCCTCTACGGTTTAACCGCGTAGACTACGGAGTGGAGGGGACATACGAGTGCGTGGCCACCAACGCGGGGTTTCCAGAAGTTTCCAAAGAAACAAAAATAGACGTTATAGGTAAGAGCTGTCAATTCTAAGGAATCTTACCTTATCTAAAGTAATTTTTGATACCAGACCTTGAAACATCTCTCATTTTGCCTTTCAACTAGTAGGCAAAATATGTCGTGCGAGATATTGCTTTAAACTATTGTACACTCGTAAAAGGCGTCATATATTTGCACCACCACCACTATCTAAATGACATTTATTTGCAATGGAGTACTGTTCAGCTGTACATGTTAATTTGTCAAGAAATAAAGTGCTAATTTTACACACGCAAGCAATGCTAATGCAAAAATCTTAACCCATTCCTTTGATTTTTTTTGTTGACGTCCATTCGCAGGACTACCCCACTTACTGGGGCAGGATCTGGCTGAAGTACTGACCGTGCAGTCAGGCGGCACTGCTAGGTTAGGCTGCCGGATTGTAGCCGACCCGTTACCGGGTAGGATCACATGGGTATGGCGCAACAAACACGGCATAGAGAACACCCTGCACGACGGGCTCAACGGCATCACTATTAACGACAAAATCACCGAGCAGGAAATGTCGTCGGCCCTGACGGTCAAACACGTGGACGTAGGCCGGGCAGGGACGTACATCTGTCAAGCTTCCAACATATTCGGGCCAGTCAAACGAAACATTCAACTGGAGGTTAAAGGTAGTTTGATTTCCCTTGATCCCCATGCATCAACATTGCAGCATCATGAATCATTGAATTGCGCTAGTATAGTATCAATGGACCGCAATATTACAATTTCAGCAGATTTTTCATGAACTTTATTAATATTTTCCAGCCACAAAATCAATGATGACATGCGTACATGATACAAACGTAAAAACATGAAGAACAATTTCTTCACAATAAGAAGGTTTTACAATGTACTTGTTAACCTAGGCAATGTATCTATCTAATAGAATGAAGTTTCTCAATTGATACCTATGTATTACGAATTATAGAACGAATACGAAATACGTATAGTACAATAATTTGTACAATAGTACATTTTTCATGTCATTTGTACGTGCACATACTAGGTTAGTGAGTAGATAGTGGTAAGCAGTGGTGGCTCGCATCGTCTACAGATGTGACGATTAGGTGTTGATGAGTAAGTAATGGGTATTGTCATATCATCAAATTGTTCAACATCTCTTTTGAAAGATACAAGCAACTTACATTTATGTCTTTATCAGAGTCGAAGACCTCCTTGTTCATCATCATCATCGCCACAACAGCCAGTGCATTAGCCCTGATGGCCACAATGGCGTTTGGGTGTGTTCTTAAGAAGAGAAGAGTTACCAGAAAACAAAGAAAGCCTACGGGTAAGTATTGGCCCTCCGTTGTTTCCATTAAAGCCCCTGTCACACATTCAGATCTCCGACCAACACAACAGCCAACACTGCTGAAATTTGGGAGCAGTCTGGCGAGAGTCAAACGCTGCTGACCTGCTGTCGACGCCCAGCTAACTTAACTATAAACAGCAAACCATGACTATGTTTTGACAATTTTTAAATTTTTAAATATTCGGCTGGCGCAGTTGTAAACCTCGCCAAACACTCACCAACCACAGCTACAGTCTACTTAGCTCCCAACCTGCTCCCAACCATTGTTTGGGGGAGTTCGGCAGTGTTCGTGGATTAGGCTTGACAGATGCTTGATGCCGCTGACTAAAACATTTGCGACGTAAAACATTTGCTGGTGTTTTCAGCAGTTCACGGCGTGTCAGCCTCCCGACCCATGCCTCCTGTCCCGAAGTACATCCACGCCACCAACACCATCGACTCCGGCGTGGAGGATCTGGAGCTGCACGAGCTGGACAGGGCGCTGAAGCCGCACCCTTCCTCCAGGGGGAGGGATGACAAGGAGTGGAAGTCCGTAGGGCTGGCCTACTCAGGTTTTGGGATAAGACAATTACGTAGCACTGGTGACGTTTCTAATATTTAACGCAATCACTTTTGTATCACACTGCACTCACAAAACGTTGGATTTAGTTGGATTTAGCAACAGAAGTAAACGCCAGTAAAGTCGGGTAAAGTGGTAGTAAATAAAAGTCAAGTCTGGTTAATTTTTTTCGAACCTTGAAGTTTGCTAAGTCAGAAATAACCGGACATTTTTTTTTAATTTACTACCATTGGTAAGCCTGAAATTACAGGACTTGACTTTTAACTACCTTACTGCATGTGTACAATTAAACAATATTGCCTGACTTCACTGGCATTTTCTACCATTGGCAAATCCAACGTTTTGTGTAGTGCTAGTCGTATCATTTACTGTTGTAGATTCCTAACAATTCATGCCTAAGTAATCATTGTTAAGGGAGCCGAAATATGAAACATGCACCATCAATAGCTTTGGAGGAGGCTTTCGTTTGATTTACTCTTGGTGTTTTAAAGCCATGTGGAAATGTAATTTGAATGATTTCATATATATATAATTTTAATAATTTTAAAATAGCAATTATTATATATCTATTTTTACCCTTTCTTCCAGGCCTTGTCCACTCGACGTCACTTCCGCCATACTCCACGGTAGAACGCCAACTTCCGGATGGGGAGGACAACATCCGGCATTTGACTACGTTTAGAGAAGACGGTCCGACAGTTCCCGTAAGGATCCTGTAAGATGGCTAGGTGTTGTGGTATTCTTTGATCTTTTGACGAGTTCTTTCTCTGCTGAATTCTGTGGTTACGCATACCCTTATCAAGTGCGCATTGGAATTGCTCGTAGTTGTAGTAGCTTTTGGATGAATGCCATTGTTAGTGTACACTACATAGGAATTGATTCGTTTTTGTCATTTTATGGTTCAGTGTCTGCTTCTTTCCAGGCTACCCCTTCCCAGTAACCAACCACGGACGATGTCATACAGTCCATGATGAGAAGGTAACAGGCATCATTGAGAGACATCCTTGGATAAAATCATATGGGCCCAACCACAAGCTCTTGGACACAGTCGCGCAACAAGAGCTCTGCCATATTGGTAGCTGCTACGTAATGTCCACACTGTGTAAATGTCTCTAAATACGTTGTTTCATGTTGCAGTGATTATGCTGTCAGGGTAACTCAAGCTGTCACAGTTTGTCCGATTAGCCATTTTGGGCTCGAAGGTGTGGACTTGTGGGGGAAATATCGACGTTTAGTGAAAACATAACTTCAAGAATGTAAGGCCTGGCCTGTGTCACCATGCGACGTTTGGCAGATATCCAAGTCTGCCAAACATCCTGGGTCGACTGGGGTCTTCAAATAGACATGGCCATTCTCGATTTTTCCAAAGCTTTCGATAGCGTTCCGCACACCCGACTACTTAACAAACTAGAGCACCATGGGATCAGAGGTAAAAACTTAGGCTGGATCAGAAACTGGCTACTTGACCGCTACCAACAGGTAGTGGTTGATGGGGAAAAGTCAAGCCTGGTCAGGGTTAAATCTGGGGTTCCGCAGGGGACAGTTCTGGGGCCATTGTTGTTCCTCATTTACATTAATGATATAAATGCCAACATATCTTCACAGTTGAGACTTTTTGCTGATGATTGTCTTGTTTACCGCCCGATACACTGTAGTCAAGACCAGGAAATTCTCCAAAAAGATCTGGACCAACTCTGTAAATGGTCACAAGATTGGCAGCTCCGGTTTAATGTAAATAAATGCTCTATTCTCCACATCCACAAGTCCAGTAGATCACCTGCTCATCTCTATTTTATGTTCAATGAACCGCTAAACCACAACAACCAGCATCCCTACCTAGGTGTCATACTCAGCCACAACCTCAGGTGGAAGGCACACATCAATGACATTACTGCGAAAGCTAGCAGCACCTTGGGGTTCGTCAGACGCAATCTAAGGGGGGCAAGTAAGCAGGTGAGAGCCAGAGCCTACACATCACTAATACGACCCAAACTTGAATATGCTTCATCAGTATGGGACCCACACAAACAGATACATGCCCAAACCAACAGTCTAATTGATAAGCTAGAGTCAGTGCAAAAACGAGCCGCAAGGTTCGTGTCAGGTAACTACAAACACTCAAGCAGCATTACTGCCATACAAAACTCACTTGGTTGGCCAACGCTCCAGCAACGGAGACAACAACAGCGTCTATGCCTCCTCTACAAAGCAGTCAACAATCTTATATCCATTCCTCTACACCACATTCTTACAAGAAACACAAACCCAACCAGAGGGCACCAGCTACGTTTCAACACACTACACTGTAGAACAGAGACTTTTAGAGGTAGCTTTTTCCCACGAACAGTGATCGAATGGAACGCCTTACCTGCCCATCTGGTAATGGCTAAGTCAGTTGAACATTTCAAAGCTGGGGTAGCCAGTCATTATGGCTTCCCTAGCTGTACCCAGCTGTAGGAATGTGGCCAATCCCCAGCCATGACTTTTGTACATAGTTATTGCACTTGTTTTTGTATTGTTTGTTTGTTGTGATCTTTTTTTTCCTCACCACCACCACCGGTCACGCTGGGGAACGACCACTTCCCTAAGCATTAGACCCCGTGAGGGGTATTGCTTAGTATTGTATAGAACTAGAACTAGAAGTCTGAAATGTTCAACAGACTAAATATATACCGCCCAGCACTGCCACCTAGCGATAGCTATACGCCCTCCACCTTCTTAAGTTTTTTTTCTCTCATGGTATTATTGTAAAACTCTACATGTGAGAGACCTATATCATTCGGAGAGGTTTCCAGATCAAATCCAGTGGACGGATTAATTCACGTATTTATTGATTTGCCTTTGAGCAAATATATAATTATATACCCTGGCCTGCCCGGCTAGCCAGTGGCTAATTTAAAGGGCTAGTCCATATATTAACGCTTGGTTTTGATTCATAAGGACATGTTGAAAATGTGGAGTTAATTATACAGATGTCATATATACCGGGTGCTCAGCCTACACAGAAAGTAAAATAGGTGGATGTGATGTATGTTTTATTTACTCATGGAAAAAAATCATATCTAAGATAAATATATTGGACAAACATGCTACCTTGTTATCTTGCTTCCGTCCATTGAAGTACTGGTACGCTGTAATGTTCGTATTTGGATATATAAGGTGCTATATTGCTTGGGTCTGCATCTGGTAATTCATTGATGTATTTGTATACTATGAGTGTGGAAAAATACCATGTGGTGATAATTGAATATGCATATAGCAATATTCGTTAAATAAATATAGCTTCAATATATCATCAGGATACAATTGTGCCCTGGTTGTTTATAAAGACTATGCCCAAAACAATATTCCTAGTTTCAAAATGATCAGTGGATCCTTGTCGTATCCTTGATAATCATATAAAGACAGATTGTGCAAAGCTATAGATACTGTTGGTATCAATTTAACCACCTCGGGTCAAAAAGGCATTGAGTATAGTCTGCAGCGCCACCTTGTGAATGCCATTAGTACTACCACAAGCGGGTATTCATGTACTATAATAACATAGTATTACTAGCCATGGAATATACGATTGATATGACAAAATATAGGAAGCAGTTGTCTGACCATAAACAAGGTACTCACATAGAACACACGTCCCGACTAGTCATGTTTGGGAAGCAGGCACAATGTAGCAGAAATAACAGTATGGTGCACTAACACAGCGCTTACAGAAATACAAAAAAAATGATATATTTTGAGTTAAATTACCAACAGATACAAAACTCATGAAATCATGACAGAAGTCCATGTCCAATTCCTGAGGCGATGCTAGTCACACATTCAGACAAGACAAGAAATTGGTTTCTCAGTGCAGTCGCGCCCGTAATCCTGTATGTGAATCACAGCAGGCAGTACTAGTCCTGCCGAGTAATACTTCAGGTTAATGAGACCATTCCACGTCCATTCACCGCCCAGCACCAGTTCCTGATGGATGGAACGTGTTACTCGGATCGAAACGCTGGTCTGTAAAATTTGGTTCAGACGTTTTCTGCCGCTAGGAAGCAATTAGGAGCCTTGGCGTCTTGAAAGTGATTGTAATTAAATTGCGTTCTTGTAGGGAAAGTTTTGGCAGACGATAGCATACCAGTGTTAGATGCCTGTTAGTATGGAATACAGCGCAAAGGAGGAGAAATTCTCCCATGCATACGACGTGTACCATATAGAGGGATTTGCACTGAATTGAACCTGAGTAAGAAGTGCTTTCTGTTAGGAATACGGGTGTCACGTCATTGGTTTTCAGATTCAAGTGGATATATTTTTTCCTTTGGTTACATGGTATGGTGGGGGTTGATTTCTAGCCATCTGGGATCTCTCCGTCCATGGTCTCAGCAAGTGGTTAAGAAATACCATTCAATGATTTACTAACGCGATGAAATTTGTTTCATGAAAGTTTGACTTTTACGATTTGATGACGTTTGAGCAGAAATTTATCTAGTCTTGACTACCTGTCGGCACTGAGTTCGGACTGAAAGCTTGACGACAAATTAGTTAACGGTTTGAGACTCATATCTAAGATTGTGCAATGTCTGTAAGAAACGAAGTAAGGCCACGCCGACTTAATTTTATGGATGACATCCTCTGAAGACCCCAAAACTAGTGCGCGCGGGCGAATAAAAAAAAATTCCGGCCAAAAATAAAAATGGTACTAAACCACAGGAATACAAAGCTGGTATTGTGAATTTGCGGCAGTACATAGCGATGTACGATACTGAGCCGGCACATGTTGGCTTTTTGCGGATCGGAATTTACGAATCGGCACTGTACGTATGTACTGAGTTCTTGCCATCGTGGAGCTTCGGTAGCCTAGGTGCCGTCCTCCAGTGTTACCACCGGCTCCATAATGTCGCTAACTACCATGGAGTACCCAGGCCTAGAGCCTCGGAGGACGTGATTCTTTTTTTTTTGTAGAACAGGTGAAAATCAATGCGCGCGCGGATGTCATCCATAAAAATTACTTGCTGTGGCCTAAGATTCATATTACTTCCTACAGTGACACTAGAGGCCAGATAAACTAGCAGCACTGCTGTCTTTGGCGCCACTTAAAAGCTGCCTCTCCGACCCCAATGCGTTTTCTGACCTGTTTCTCTAATTTAAAGGATCTTTGTAGAAGCAACTTCACAGAGTGTTGACATACCGAATGTGCCATGAGTTACGTTTATTTCCCACGGCGATGACTTAAGGAGCCCCACTGGCTAAGGTGATTTAAGTCCCGGAAGACGTAAGATTTGAATTTGTTGCAAATTTTCCGAAGACTCTGACCCTTATGCAGCTTCTACAATGCATCCATTCATCTTGTCCGGTTTAGGAAACGGCTCTGTTACTGTTGTCGCCGCCGGCTTCAGAGGCGTGTGCCAATAAAATGTCACAGTGTGGCAGGGTCTGACAACATTAACACTTCAGTGGATATCGATCTGTCGCTTTGGGAATTGTGGAAATTACAGTTTCCTGTCCATGACGATATATTGTGTTCTCGCACACGAAACTTAACGGCTTCTAATGCAATTCGAGGGTGGCAAAAAAATATTCTAGATGAGGATATTTGTCTAATATTGACATTTACTACAATTCTAGCATATTTTCATCATTATTTCATACTTGACGCGTTTGAAATAGCCCGGAAACAAGATATTCGCGTAGTCCCATTTTTTTGTATCATCATAAAATAGCATTTCGTATCTTTAAAGGCACTCTATGTAGTTTTTTGACAATACAAAAAGTATATTTTTCATTCTTTTCTTTACATAGTACATTGACTTAACCCTTTAGTATTCCAAAATCATACTCCTCAACAAAAAATACAACATCCTTGCTCCTTAGAAGCTTAGAAAACTGTGAATGATCTTCTATACAACCTCTGGCCAAACCGCACATATGGTACATTGTATTGTCCACTGCTAGTGGTTTGACCTACATCCCAGTGGGGTGTCAGTTGATAGCTTACCAGTTTCTGAAATACCTAACCGTTTACCAGATTTTTTTATCTCTTTTGAAGGGATAATGACCACAGTTTATTCATGCCCAACAAAATACTCCAAGTTGATAATTATATTCCACCAGACCTCATGTGAAAGATATGAGTGTTTTTCTAAGGAGGCTATATCTTGTCACATGTGCCCCTGTCAATCAAGCCTGGCAAGCCGGGTCAATTAGCCACCCTAGGGGGCAACCCCTGTATGTTGTTGTTGTTGTTGTCCTGAGCAAACCGGTGGCACCGGGTACCCAAGAAGGACTGTTTGAACGGACAAAATATACGTAAGAAATGTGAAATAATGACACAAATGTGTTGAAAAGTGATAGTAACTGTTAATAACACTGAAATTTAGTATAATTAGAATATTCCAAATTTTTGCGCAAAAAACTACATAGAGTGCCTTTAACAGTACGAAAGAAGTAAAGCAGTAATTTTCTCTCACCATGATCGCATTTTAGCCTCACAGAAATTAGCATGCGATGGGATGGGGTTGATTTACTATTGAAATTGAATTTTGATTTACAGCCCCCAAATCGCTTTCGGTGTCTTTAAAGACACACATAAAGAACATATTCAACAAAATTGACTTTGTTATCATACACATTTTCTCTTGGAATATTTTTCTGTGTTCAGTCCTGAGGATTCATTGCTCCCGTTTCATGCATGTCAATAACATTGAAAAGACGTAAGTGAAAGATAAGAGGCACTATATCTGATACTTATCGTGTTCTCTACCTTTTCATGTATTGATTCTGAGGTGTTTTCTTACATCGCAGGGCTATCAAACAATCATTGACTTTTCACAGCGGGCGAGTAGAGCACATCAAAGTCAAGCGCACTTACTCCTTATCCTTTAAATCATCAAATTACCCTTTATCAACGACCTGTCAAAGAGATCAAAGGCGGCACCTAATGGGAAAGATCGATTCAACATCCTTGTTCACACACTCAACAATGAATCCGATTCAGTATTTATATATTTTTGTTGTTCCAGAGAAAGTGGAAGAAGGAAGGAATATGGTAGAAAAGTAATATTTTAAGATCCGTTTTTTGTGGTAATATGTATGTAGTTGATACATGATTGCTGATGTTTGTTTTTTGATACTGCTGTGCTCTTCAGACGTTATTGATTTGAAACCCTATAGGGGCAAATGGCAAGAAAGGCCGTGACTGATGGCATTTCTGTATACTCATGACTGATTAATAGGACCAAATCAGGTACAACTAATAAGACGATGCTCTTTTCCAGTTAACACGGAACTTGATATAATTGAAAACACAGAAATTGATATAATTTATACGACGTGCGAGGTCCAGTGGTGAGCGTCGACCCTGCCTCTGGACCAAACGGTTGGGAGTTCGAATCCTCCAACGACATGCACGCTACTGGAAAGGGCAGCAGTTTTTATGGCATCAAGCTGTGGCTCCCTGTACATTGTATGTGCTTGTCGAAAAGAGCCAGGGGGATTTCCCCGATACAATGAACCTGTAAATAATGTACATAGCATCTGTGTTCCTTATTCCTACCACCATGTAAGAGTAGCTCTTCAGTGAGCTAAAACGGATTCGAAATAAGTTTAATATATTGAAGAACCAGAGCAGTTCGAATTGTCGTGCCCTACAGTTTTGTTCTCTACGAGAGCTGGCTTGTCAATAGTTCTATTTCTTTCATACATATGATTTATTTACAACTTCCTCAGTTCCCTCACAAAAAAGGTAATAATTAATTTCAATACACTGATGAGATATTCAGTTGCCTGAAGTCATCACGTAGCGCTTTATCTACAAGCATTTATTGTGGAAGCCACAGCGCTACATATATTAAACCCTTGTCACACATTTAGATTCTTTCCCGACCATCAACCAACCAAAGTTGGCTCAAGTTCGGGAGCAGTCTGACCAGATTTAGGACAAACCTACTTTCTATACGAATCAGATGGACTTTTAGTTAAATATGAGTCAAATTTGTCTCCCAACAATAATAGTCGACCTGGCCGAATACCAGCCAACCACAACCGTCCTTGCTCCCAACCTACACCTAATTATGGTGTGTGGGAGGTTTGGCAGCGTTTGGAAGGCCAAATACGTACATCTAGATATTTGTGACAGGGGCTTAAGTGTCTTTTGATACTAGCTCGGCCTATGGCATAACCATTACACGCCACGTCATTACTTTCAAAAGCAGCTCATACATCACATCACATTTTGCTGTAATACTTGGATACGTGAAGTATTCATCAAATAGTAGGCTTTCCGTCTTCTATTGAAATCTTCTGAGATATGTAAACAGTGAGATTACTGAACCGGCTACATTTGGAAGTGCCGGTTAAATATGGTTTGCTGTTCACAGATACGTGCACTGTACGTGTACAATGTAAACCATTCAGTCCAGTTTATCTACCGTGGCCTTCAGCTGCCATGATATAAATGTGCATCCTATCTCTGTAACCATTCTTTCCTGTCTTGAGTCCATTGAGTCCACAGTCATCAGATAGGAGACAACTTCCGCAAGCAAGGAGACATCTTTTCCTGACCACTGCTCTCTCATTTTGCTGGTTTTTGATATTACGTTCTGTCCTTGTTGAGATCTAGCCTCCACCAGGTCTTCCTACGGGAATACAGATCGTAGCATTTGGCAGAAAGGAGAGTAAAATTGGTCAGGCGAGTCAGTCCGCGGAAGGTTCATTCTTTCCCTAACTGCGCGGCCAGTCAAACCCCAAGGCGGCCAAACTCCCCTGGAAAATATTCTCCTATATGTAGCCAGTGTAGCTAGTCTGTTAGAGGCTGGTTGAAATCGACCATTCACAGACTTTCTGCCTGAATCTCGTTGAGCACGTTGTCTGCCTGGTGATGATTTCGCATGCCGCTGTTCCCGCCCGGCTGCTGGCTGTGCCCGGTGCCGTCTCCACCCCGTCTCTTCCACCGCTTCTTCTTGTCCTTAGGTGGCGGCGCTGGGGGCTCGACCTGAACCTAGGCAAAGTACAATGAGCATGAAAAGTAATGGCATGACATGGTTAATTACCATCCAACGAGAAGATGCCCCTTATTAGCCATGTTATGATTATGGCACAATTTCCAGCCCGGGGCTCGGCCGGGCAGTTTCCAGGAACAAAAACTATAATACAAAAGACAAAAAAGTAAAAAAAAAATTATAAGTACCATTTGTGTATAAAATGTTTGTTTTTCGATCACACAAACAGCCCGGCCGGGCCACGGTTTGGAAATGTGCCCTGATCATAATGCAGGTACACCGTTCTTCTCAAGATGGAGATTTCTTTCATTTTTTTTTTATCGGCACACAAGCATGAAGCATAAGGTGGGCAAAGCGTATTGTTTGTATTATGGCCAAGTATGCTCACCACAACAGGTATACTCTCTTCCTCCTGTATGCTGGCTGACAGACGGGGGTCCTGACCGTCAGGCCGATGCCGCTCCACGGTGGAGTAAGGCGGGAGGGTGTTGGAGTGAGCCAGGCCTAGAAAAACATCAAGACGATTATAATAATAATAATGCGGGTTTTATTTGAAACACCTCACAGCCCGAAGGCTGAATTACATGTCCCGCACATTGTATAAAAACATATTGTGACAATATAATTATTACATTTTTACAATATAACACTAAATTTAAAGTTAAAATACCAACCTCATTAAAGTACTAGATTAAAATCAAATCAAATTATTCTAGGGAACATGTCATTAGATTCAAAAACAAACAAAAGTGTAGTACTGTAGGTCAAGCAAAAAAAAAACAGGAAATATATGTAAAATTGTCGTCCGTAACTGGACTTAACAATGGTAGTAAATAGAATTAATGGACTTGAATTTTATTTACTATCATTGTAAAGTACGGTGCTGTTTACAGAGTAAACATTACCCGGCTTTACTGGCATTCACTACCATTGTTAAATTCTCGTGCAGTAATATCTATTGATAGCCTCACGTGGATATGAGAGTCCTATGGAGGTCCAGTCCTTGTCCACTCTTGGAGGAGGCCGTGGTTTGAGCGTGCCGTCCATCTCCTGCATTTCTAGGTCCTCCACACCGGAGTCGTTCGTACCATGTCCGGGTTTCCGCCCGTACTTCGGTATCGGTGGTACAGATCGCGTTGGAGACAGAGCTGGGGTAGCTGTTTATCGGCACATTGTTAAATCAATCAGAAAATACACCACGCCATGTCGAACAAGTAATCTATTTAACGCGAGAATTTTGCGAAAGGAGTAGAGTGGAGTAAATCATTTAACATTAGGGCACACCGACCCTCTGTCACCCAGGACGGGGGTCGTTCCATACTTTTGACATTATTTGACCTAATGTTGACGTCACACGTTCGGAAGAACTACGTGTCTATACATGTTGTAGTACTAAGGATTCCGATGAGTCAAATTCTTTTTGAGTTGGAAAACAGAAATTTTTTTTTTGTAATACGCACATTATTACGTACCAATTCAGATTAACTTTTATTCTAACTTATGTTGTTTAACTAAACCTTGACTTATCTCCTGGTGTATACAAGGCAATTATTCTGCCCCCTAGTATAGCAACCAAAACATTAGTAATCATTCCTATTTTTTCGTGAAGGCATGACTTACCACGTTTCTCATCGGCACAGATCCACCCTTTCTTTTTAGCCACGAACACCCCAACGACTGACACCGTTGCCATGACGATGACCGCAACAGAAACGGAGATGATGGCGATGATAGATGTCCTCGATTCTTTCAAGAACAACATAAAGCATAGTAGTGAGATCTCAAGTCCTTGTATTCCTTGAGGTTAAGGCGAAACCAAGCTTCACATTATGTACCATTTGATTATGGTATGATCCTAATTGATTTTTGTCTCTCCATTGTCAAAATTAACGTATGGTATCTGTGCAATATCAGGAAAGTTTTTTTTTTCTTTTTATAAATCAATACTGGAATTAAAACGAGTTGGTTTGAAATGATTTATGAAGAGCTGTAGAAGGCATTGGTGTGATGGGTATTTCGACAGACAATTCATTCACTCTTCGGTGTCACTTCCGTCAATTTAAAATCACTCAACAGTGGTGAGGCAAACTTCAATCATCCCCCACCGAGAAACTGGTCAGTTTCAATTTTTACATCGGGACTTACGCTACAAGCTTACAGGCATTTTTATGCTTCTCACCTTTAACAGACAGCCGTATCTCCCGCTGATCTGAGCTGAAGATGTTCGTTGCCTTGCAGATGTAGATCCCCTCATCGTCACCAGTGACGTGGTCAATAGACAGCATGGCGGTCTTCATCTTGCCTACAATCTTCTCCATGATGGAGATGCCGTTGTTTGTATCCAAAAGCACGCTCTCGACGCCATTTTTGTTTCTCCACAGCCACGTGACTTTCTCTGGTAGAGGATCGCCGATGACGTCACAGTAGAACCGTGCGACCTCACCCTGATTGGTGGAAACTTGCGCTGACGCCGCTTCAACTTGTGGTTTTCCTGATACAATAATAATAATGTCAAATAGTCACTAAACAGATTAAATCAGAAAGTCACTTCGTGAAAAAATGAAGACAATTTTACAAAGGATTGTTTTCGCCTAGAGCTTTCGACCAGTGCCTCTGATCTTCTTCAATAGACCGACCCAGTGAGACTGGTCGGAGGCTCTAGGTGAGAACAATACGTTGTGTGGGAAGAAAAGTTTTAAGTAAATAGAGAAACATCAGAATGATACTCTTATGGAAATGCTGGATGTACCAATGGTAGGAAATTCCAATGAAGTCGAGTAACGCTCACTTTGTAAACTGTACCAGCTTTACAATGGTAGTTAATAAAAGTCAAGTCCAGTCATCTTGAGCTTTAACAATGATAGTAAGCGAATTTACTATCATTGGTAAATCCAACTTTTCCTGCAGTGATAATTGCGTCACGTCAGAACTATATCTGTTCATATGAAGGTGTTAAAAAACACATACCTAAGACGTCAAGTTCAACATCTTTTGTGACTACAGGGAATCCGTCACTCGTTGCCACGCATTGATATGTCCCCTCCACGTCGTAACGCACCCGGTGGAAGCGAAGCGGGTTTTCCCAGTACAAACTTGTATCCTTCCGCTGCCACCGGATGTGAGGTTTGGGGTTTCCGTCCGCGAAGCAGTTGAGTGAGAAGTCGTTATTTCCGTACATGACTGAAACTTTGTCGTTGAGTGTGGAGTCAATACTGGGCGGGTCTAGTAAGGAATAATTGTAAATTTTTTTTAAAAAATTGCATTATCATCATTAGGACGATGCAAAATAGGTCAATTTCCTGCTAATCATTTCTTCACAAATTAAATTATTGCAAATAAGTGCCGATCAGGAATTACAAATTAAATCGAAGACTATCGCTCAAATGGAAATGTAATATCTATGACCATATCAATTTCAATGTAATCGCTTCCATCTGGAAAAGATGAAAATTATGGAAATGTGCAAACTGTGCAGATGATGAGCAGTACGTACAGAACACCTCTAGCCGGATGGAGCCCACACCGACCGGTAAGATCCGGTTGTCCGCCTCGCACTGGTAAACACCGCTGTCGTACTTGGAAACTTTAACGATCTGGATGCTTCTCTCCCTGGACCAGAACAAAAGGGACCAGAACATTACAGACAGGAAGTAAATGAATGAGCTTTATTATAGTCGAATCAACTGGAGAGATCTACATAGACTGGATATCGGACCGGCCGTCAGCCAGTTCCCCTCGGCGACCTGATGCCGTACGCCCGCCGGTCAAAATGAGCGCTACGGGGAGTTGAGGCCTGAAGGGAGTTCGTATGGGGACACTCCCTTGGGCCACAACAACCTCGTAGCACTAATTATACCGGCTGGCTTATAGCCTCGAGCCGCCGAAGGGAACTGGCTGATGGCCAGATATCCAGTCTGGCTCCCAGGGTAGGAGGGATCCAAATACATACTTTATAGAAAGAGTATCAATCTCAACGCAAGCCCGTTACATATTTTCAAATTGCTGGCAATATTGGGAGAAGATTTGTGTTTCTGAAAGTTAGAGAGGCTCTTGAAAAGGTAAGATTTGAGAGAGAGGAATGTAGATATGGTATTATGAAATGGAATACATGTGGAAAAAAGTAACCAACCTTTGTATGCTGTCCCTGGGGAGCCGGTCCCCCCGTTTCCGCCAGGTGACGGTTGCTTTAGGGTTGGAATCGACGTAGCAGGTCAGGTTTACCGACTGGCCCTCTCTGGCGTGGATGGACGGGGACGGGACCGACACAGTCGGGGGGTCTAAAGATTGAAACGCGGGAAATCACGTTATACGTCAATGTCGTAAGGATATTTTACAACTGCATGTGCATCTCTTGCTTTACTCTCCAAGTTTTAGGCTTATTTTTGGCGTTTTTAGGCTTTTCATCGGGCTCTCTTTTTTGCACTGGTATCTTTTGAACGCCAACATCACGTAAAAGATAGATACCATACCAGTGCAAATAAAGAAAACCCGATAAAAAGCCTAAAAATACGCCAAAGAATAAGCCAAAACCCAAAACTCTGCTTGGAGAGTACCCTTGCTTTGTTAGATAAATATGGAAGCCTGCTATAACATGCAAAATGCAATAACCAACTTACAGTCAACTCGTAGTATTCTTGAAGCAGCTCGGGGTTTGACAATATCAGGAAACCCCTGGTCGGCAACACAGGTGAAGTTAGCGCCGTCGTCCCACTTGGAGACCCGCGCCGTGAACAGCTCCAGCGTGACGGTTCCTCCCTCGTCATTGCTAGCCGTATCTTCTGAACCGAACTGGTGGGTACCGTTGTACCAGGTGAGCCGAGGAGGAGGGTAGCCGCCTCGCGACCGGCATCGGAGCAGCAGTTCGTCTCCTGCCGTCAGTGGTAGCTCTGCTCCGGTGATGTCAGGGGGTCCAACCATTGGCACTATAACGCCGCAGATTAAAATTTAGAATATTACTTAAAATGCATTATTTGCAAAGCAAAAAGTATAACATTTACTAAGCTCACATGACCTAGCTTAATTATGTGTAGAGGCCAGCCCCTCCAAGTTAAATAATAGAACCAAACACCACAGGATGTCTACCACAGCACCAGTTACCATGGTGACAGACGCCTGGTCGAGGTCATGGACCTTATGTGTTTGAAAGTAGAAATTGTGCAATAACAATATCTTTAACAATATTTTTCTTTCTGCGAAGACATTTAAAACACCATTATCTAAACGATGGTACCAAACACGTCTACAAAACAAACCATTTACACTCAAGATTAGGTTAGAAAATGAAACATGATGCGATATAACTGACCTATGACCGTGAGTGTAACATCTGCAGCGGCCCTCACACTCGGTGTTGAACATCTGTAATCCCCAGAGTCTTCCACCTGAGCGTCCCGGATATTCAGGTTGTACTCTCCCTGTAACGCGTCACCGACTATACTGTGGCGTTCATACATGACAGAAACCTTCCTCCCCGAAGATATAATGTTATCACCCGGCGGCCCTTGCCAACTGACGACGTCGTCGCTGCTAAGATCGTTGAAAGAACAGCTGAGGCTGGTATCCTTCCCTTCGAGAACGACTTTAGATTCAGGCCGTCTTCTATAGAACGCACCGTCAGCTGTTGAAATATCGATAGAAAGATACATGATGTTGAGGAGAAGCACAAACGACTAGCACAGAATCTGTTAGCATAGCCTTTGGTAGTTTTCAGGGTTTTTTTTTGGAATAATATCCCTTACAAAGCAGGAATAGACTGTAGCAGAGCTACGCTCTCTTGTGATAACGCGGGGCCTCTTGTCCTTAATACACTATGCACGATTTCTATCTTACTTGTAAGACAGGCTTTCTTCAAAGTAAGTATGAAAAGGTTTTTGTGATGCTAACAGCGTAGTCTTGTGATTTTTATGTTTTGAGATGAGCCATCTCTCTGTGCAGCTTTCTTGGCAGACGAAATCTCGAGCTTTACCGCTTGACTTGGAATCTTTATTTCCAGGAAGAAAGGAGACAGGCTGATTACAACACATCGCAAAGAACATCATCCGGAGACTGTCAGATGCTTCTGCTCCATATAACGGCGTCCCTAACAGACTCCTTAAGTGGCTTGTAGATGGCACGGGAGCATTTAGCGGATCAGCAAGACACGACAGCCAACATTATCTCCACATTACCGTCCCGCGTGCCACTCAGGGGTATCACACTGCCATCACTTCAAGCAGCGATTCCATCAGCTACCGCCCAATTACCAGACCTTCCCCAAACTCCGTTGCCGCGTGATGGACTGGAGTGTCTGGCGGTTGGCATTTACCTGAAGTGCCTGCAGTAACTTCATGGCAGTAAAAGTCTGCATATCACGGGGGGAGATACAGGCAAATAGCGTTTCTTCGTATATACCAAGGTCGAGAACTCATGAAGGCATCTTCTGAATTAGAAGTGGACGAGTAGAGGAGGAAATGGAGGAAGGGGCATGCAAGATCTTATCTTGTCACTGTACGTTTCTATTTCTATTTCTCAACTTTAAACAGAATACAGCAAGGGATTCTTTCCATGCGCAATAAATAGATTATCAATATAAGGTTAAAATGAATGGTAGAACTAATGAATATGACATATTCACGTTGCTGGTCACAATTGAATATCACAGCACAAAACACGTTTCCAACTGACATTTTACAGATAGCTTACATGTGATTTATGCATGTGCGCACTTGACCCCAAAGTCAGCATGGCGCAGTTGTATATCATAATTTTTCAATAACTGCAGGGATGTCGGTGAAATGCACGGGCAATTTATTTCCCGTGTTGGCTCTTTCCAGGAGGAAATTAACTACCAATCTTACATGATAAAATGTGGCAGTTACGAAAACGATACTGTCGAAAAATGATTTACTCCAGAGTCTTTCAGCTCAAAGCTAGCACTGCAGCTGTGGATGCTTCCGCAGCACTTATAGTAGAATAATTGCGATGGCAGTATGAAATATAATCCTATAATTTTGTTATTTCAAACTGTAATGTAAAGTAATGCTGGAGGAGTTACTATGATACGCCAAAACAGTCAAGCAACTGGATATGATTTTTTTTAAATATCATATCCAGTCGCGTGAGTAACTGTTTTTGGCGTGTCTTATTACCTGGATGTCTAACCTTCACCGACGTTAATATAATAATCAACAAGCAGATTCGATCGTGAGAAAGCCAGGATCAAATTGGCCACTAGTTACCACGGCCCCCCGTATGATAACTGGTGGCCAATCTTTCTCCTTGATAGTACCTTTCCCCCAAAGGAAATCTGCTTGGAGATTAGCACTAACAAACTAAGATGTTCGGTGCGAGTAAATGAACAATCTCACTCTACAAGCTTAGAAAAGTGAAAAATTTATTAATTCCAACAAACATGGCGACGGCACACTAAAGGTTTTCTAACAGCTATTTAGTATGCCGCCACAAACCCAGACAAACGCATGAACTGACAACAGACATTTCCATTTGAGTAAAGAGAGAACATTCGTGTAAAGTGCATTTGCCAAGAGCGCAACATCGCTGACATGGCATGCAGGATTCGAACTCGGGACGTCTTGGTTCCGAGCCTAACGCTCTGTCGTTACGCCACGAAGAAAAGTTTGGGCGTCCAGCTCCTTGAGTAATCCTAGTACTTGAAAGCCCGACAGATTAGACAATCGGATAAGGCACCTTTGAACAGTCAGTGTCAGTAATTCTACTCAGAACCAGGCACAGATCCCACCGTTGACAAATCCAAAACTCCTGTAATACGCCCTGCTTGGATGATAAAGAGTCAGTGCAACCCTGGCACAGGTTATCATCAGGTGATATTCAGGGTATTGGTAGCATAAAGAAACCCACGATATGTTTGCACATGTGAGCAGCCAGCGCCAGTAATTCTACGCAGAACCAGCTTCACTGATTGCAAATCCAAAACTTCTGTAATCCGCCCTGCCTGCATGATAAATCCAGACTTACTGCAACCCTGACACAGGTTATCACTAGGTGATATTCAGGGTCTCGATGGCATCAAGAAACCCACGATATGTTTGCACATGTGAACAGTCAGTGCCAGTAATTCTACACAGAACCAGCTTCACTGATGACAAATCCACAACTTCTGTAATCCGCCCTGCCTGCATGATAAATCCAGACTCACTGCAACCCTGGCACAGGTTATCATCAGGTGATATTCAGGGTCTCGGTGGCATCAAGAAACCCACGATATGTTTGCACACGTGAACAGTCAGTGTCAGTAATTCTACGCAGAACCAGCTCCACACTGATGACAAATCCACAACTTCTGTAATCCGCCGTGCCTGCATGATAAATCCAGACTCACTGCAACCCTGACACAGGTTATCATCAGGTGATATTCAGGGTCTCGGTGGCATCAAGAAACCCACGATATGTTTGCACGCTCAGCGTCAGGGGATTGCAATATGAATAGGAGCCTGTGATTAGAATAACGAGATTTCAAAGAGCTGCATTTCATCATCAAGGCCTCCTAGGATATGCCTGGATGCCCTATGTGAAAGGTCCCAATTTACTGTGAGATTTACTAATGGAATTGGTTACACTGTGGTGATAAATAAGGATACAGCTAGCTAGCTTGGCATAGTAACCAATAATATTTTGACTTCGGTGCTGTAGGTCAGAGCAAATGTGAAATATGTCTGCTGAGACAGTAGTACTTATTCTGAGTGCCCAAGAATGACGATGGATTCTTCATTGAAGTGTAAAAATAGACACGGCTAGCTGGCTAGGCATAGTAACCAATGATATTTTGACTCCGGTGTTATAGGTCATGGCAACTGTGAAATATGCTTGCTGAGACTTATAGTATTCTGAGTGCCTTCGGAGAATTTCAATCTTAAAAGATGCATATGGGATTTTCACACAAGTGTAAAAATAGACACGTTAGAGGCACTGACTGTTGAAGCCTTAGCTGCCTGGTAATCTTGTAATGCCCAGATATTCATCAACACCTATGTACAATTTGTTAGCCTCCCCGCTGACATCCGTCACAAATTCAAGGTAATTTGATACTTATTTTCTGACATTTGACCTTTACTTTAAAGACACATCGTGTACATAGATTTCCCATATATGGCACTACTGGGAACCGCCAAAAAGTCGATTCATTATTTTGCAAACTTTTGTATGACGGAAAAAGAATTGGCAGAATAATTTGTCTACAAGCTAAAGTATTGATCCGTGTTTAACAACTTGTTGGAATTCTTGTCAGATGATATTCCAGACGGCACGCGGTAATCGACCGCCAAATTGGAAGCTAGCGCGACAGGCATCCCAGGAATACGGCTTTCTCCTGCCAGAGAGCCGCTGTAATCAAAGAGCTGACATTTGTAGATGAGTGCTTACGTTCTGGACTGCGTACACGTTGACTCAACCGTGCAATAACAGCATATGATACAATACATGTTTTTATGAAATCCATTAATTCAGGAATGAAGGCTGTTACGGGATCATCCATTCATAGTGCATTTGTACTGTGGAAACCACTTAATAGTATATATATTTTTAACAAACTTTATTATTATTCACATTTCAACAATAAAAAAACCTATAGTAAGTATAATTGCACATAATGATACATAAAAAAGCAAAAAACGTGATACTATATATAATATATACCTATATGGTAGAAACATTGTTTTTGGAACAAGTCAAATATGTTGCAGCAGACTTGAAGATACTATGATGACACCTACATGTAAACCATGGTGTCAAAATATGATATGAATTCAAAGCGCTCTATGTAAGCCTGTCATAAGAACAGGGATACAACAATCAAAGTTTATACATCGATGTTCACCAGCTTTCTTTAAACCGTCTCTTGGAATAGATACTGAAAATGCTAGAGACGATAAAACACTTCTAGTACTTGCATCAAGACCATCAGAGACGCGGGACTTTGGTTACGAGAGATGAAATAAAAATGTGAATTTCGCACATCCTCTGTCTGCCTCCCCCTTTCGACACCAATTCTGATTTGGGTCAGCGGACTAAGTACATCAGCTTCTGTGCTAACTGTACCGAAGAACGCTGCAAAGGAAGGCAACGTCTACCACCAAGACCTGTGTGACCTATCTCCAGATATCTTTGCTCTGCCATTCTGCTGAATGATTTACTGGCCTAACGGCAATTTCTTGGGTGACTAAATCCATGATGCACTCCTAGAAAGCAATTTTTGGGCCCTGCCGAAGCACCAAAGAAGTACGGCAATAAAGCCGTCTGGGTCGACGCCCATAAATGCAATTTCTCCGGAAATCTGTCGCGGCGTTTCAAGCACCGCATTATGTATATCCTATCTGTAAGGAAAGATATATCTTTGCCTTTCTAGCGGTCCAACTTCAAATCAATGCTGACACTAAATCATTTCGACAGTTTTATGTTAAAGGTCCAAGAATCAATCAACCTCATCGACTGGCTTTACAGATATGACAGCCATTAACACCTCTACAGGACAAACGGGATGGTAAAGAAGAATGCAGGTTACGATGGAAGATGCCTTTTAGTTTTTCAAAAAAAATATACGTGACTGAAATCTATTCCTAAAGTAACACACTCCCTCTCAGCAGAGATAGTACGAGTAATACCACGGCTGACATATGCCAAGATAATATCCGTCCAAAGCCATCCGGCTGGTAGCTGTCATGCAGAGGGTTAGGCTGATGCTGTAGAATCTACCCCATCTGTATTCCAACAGCATCTATACATGTTGTTGTTTTGCATCAGTACAGTCCCCACTGAATTTAGAACGCGGTAAATATGTATACAAGGCAGCCCACAAGCTGTTGTTTACAACATCAGGGCCATAGACATTGACAACAATGGCAAAATCAACCGCAGGTTTCGTCTTAATAGACTATTGTCTATGATACGATTCATATTCAGATCATTGATGACTTACCCTTCAACACAATAGTTAATGCCCAAAAGGGATCTGAAAAAGGGTATATTCTACTTAGTCGTTAAGAATTATGCTTAAGGCTTATGAATATTTTTATGATATTACGGGAGCTTTTTCTTCGAGCAAGTCATGATTGGCATACTCTATCTCCCCATACATGTATGGACCGGAGGCGAGCGATGAATTACAAAAGAAAAAAAAGAACTATACATACAGAATCTACCTAATATTACACACTATTGCAAGCATATGGATAATTAATGTTTAAGTCTGTTTCGCTATTCTAACCTGCCTTTGAAATAGTCAAATTCTACTAACCTGCAGGCGGCTGGATAGTCCACAGCATGAAGACAACCGCGAACAATTTTCCCGCACCAACCACTGCCATGGCTACTGGAATTGTACTGTAGGCAACAACAGTAAATGCTTCCCAGCAAATTTTGACGGTAACTGCGTACAGTAAAGCATCCAAGAGCGGAGGTTCTTCCTTGTGAAATGTATCGCCAAGGTTTATATTATCGCGAGTTAAAGTGCCGGGCAACGGTTTTGCTCCAAAGCGCACGCACTGCAGTTGGTACTTTCAGCCCGCACTCATTGGCACGCACAGTGGCTCATTAGGCAGCGGGCTGCTGAGTCTCTGATGGTTGATACGTCGACACGGCAGTACTTAACATCTAGTGGCGGTTTCAGGCCCTGCCAGGATCATGTTTAAATCTCCCCGCAGGTTGAGACCCGGCCACAGCCCCGCTTAAATCCCTTCAAAAGAGCGCCTGGCGGGGGCTCCTCATGCGGATAAGGCAGATAGCGGAGT